TTGATTCTGGTGTTAAATTATTAAAGGTGCATCCCTGGTTGAAATTATTCTTTCTCCTTTTGTGGGCAGCTTACAAATTCTTTTAAAATATGAAACCTGTCCTATTTCTTGTAGTCATCTTGACCAAGATTTATACAATGATGCACACATAACATACAGAGAATAATGAAATCTCAAGGCAAACCAATACAAACACTCTCCTCTAACACTCATTTCTTGATAATTCATTCAGCGATTGTTCCAGGTCATCCATAAGCACATATAAATATAATATTCAGCACCAAAAACGCCAAAAATAATTGAAAAGGCACGAGTAAAAAGCTAAATGGTTCGACTTTCGATATCGTATTTCTGGAGAGTCATATTTACATTTTCTGCCAGGCGCAGCAGAATCCCGTCGTGTCCTGACCTAGCACCCCCGCGCGCTCGCTCTCTTAGCCACTGATCTATATAAAAACACTGTAGTGTTGCTATTTTTAGTACGTTATTTGCGCCTGGGTACGAGGCTGTCTTATAAGGCTAACTGCATGCAGTTGATGACATGGTGTTATAATTTTGGATTTTTTAAAAAATTTTATTTAGACACAGTTGTGATTGCGTCAGAATTCAATATCACTTCTGGATTGAATTGGGATGATGGTCTTTCAAACGAAACGTCTTTCACTTATAAAAACCTAACAGTTAATATTGTAAACCAGGTATAGCCTATTGTTTTCTTTTTATTATACCAACAAATTCTAGAAATTAGTGCATTTTCTTTTTATTATACCAACAAATTCTATGAATAATGATCCTGATAACTACCTTTTTCCTAGATCACATCAGTATATGGTGGTACGAAAGAGTTTTTGAATGTAGAAGTCATCCGTTATCGGTACGTATATTCACCTACAGGTGAATGTAACAAAACCGAAATTTGCAAAATGGCGACTAGCCGTTTTGTGGAAGTTGCTGATGTTAAAGAAATAAGGGAAATTAAAATAAATTCAGTTTAAAAATAAAAACAAAACACAAAAGACTTGTGTAAAAATACTAAAACAATTATTCGCCACAGGCTCAGTGATTATCGGGGAATATTCACCTCGACGTCGTCTCGGTGAATATTTATCATTTATCTACTGAGACCGAGGGAAACAGTGTGTTTTGTGGACCGAGACCGCCGTTGACCCGAGGGGAAGCCGAGGGCAACAACGGCGGTCGAGGGGGCACAAAACACACTGCTTTCCCGAGGTCTCAGTAAATAAGTGTTTTGTTATATAGTGTGTAAGTGTCAAAGTATGAATAATTCACCGGTTATTGGAGTGAACTTAATTTGAAACCAAAACTGGATAAATGGAACGCCGTAAATGTTTAATAAAATGTTTAACTGAAAAATGAACTTTGGAACTTCATGGTTGACGCGCATGCGCATTGCACCCATTCTATTGTTGACCGGTCAATAAATGTTTCATTGTTGACCGGTTGCCTCCTCGCCAAAGCATGTAGTGCCAGTGAACATGACGTTTTGTGGACCGGCACGCGTCAAGATTTGGGACATCTACACTCGATGTAATTAATAGGCAATTCCAGCTTTTAATTTGTGCACGCAGGGGGTGACGGGGAATAACGTATCAATAATTTCAACAACAAGAAAATATTTCTTTAAAAAAAGAAATAATGTTTCGTTCCAATATAATTATAGAAATACCAGACGTCTGTAATTAGCGGTTGTGAGTCGTGACCATAGATCACTTGTATATGTCGAGCAATGAAATTAGATAGCTTAAGATCTACGACGTCGACGTCAGCTAGGACGTCAGCAACCTAGTCCCTAGGCCTCTTAGTTTGCCTATTGCGCGTTTCTGCATATTAATGAGGTGACGGCTGGGACGTCAGGGCTAAGCAGAGGACTGGGACTAGGACGTCGTCCTAAATAAATAACCCACCGGGCACACGACGTTGTTTCAACGTTGAAATTTGGTAGAAAAAAGGTTGCGACGTCGACAACCTAATATCTACGTTGCTCTGACGTTGTTTTACAAACATTGGTTCAACAGCAGCCAACAGACGTTGAATTAACGTTCATTCATGGTTGGTTAAATGTACG